TATTTTAATTTACATGTTCTAAAGCATAGCATTTAAATATTTAAAACAAATTTTTACCTGAAATTATTTTTGGATAATCGAATTTCATAACTGTGGTCAAAAATATGTTGAATCACATAACAAAAAAAAAANAAAAAAAAAAAAAAAAAAAAAAAAAAAAAAAAACCTCTGGATGTAATGAAATATGCAAAAAGGGAAATTAACATTAATAGTTTCTAATTTCCTTCTTATCTGTTGAAACTCTATTTTCTACATTGCAAAAAAAAAAAAAAAAAATCTCGTCAGAGAATTAGCATTTTTGTAGCCGATTTCGAAACTAGAAACATCGTCTACTGCTATTAATTAGCTTAAGTGATAGCTATCTCAGCTATAATCGCCTACAGCTATTAATTAGGTATGTTTATTTAGAGGAAGAACGTTTTTGTATCTAATTTCGAAACTCAAAATATTGTCAGATCCTATTGATCAGCATATGTAAGATTACCCCCTCAAACCATTAAGATTGAATCCAAGAACGTGAAAATCCGATCATTAGATCATAAGTTATTCAGGATGACCCGTTTTATTTTGGTGCACTGTATATTTATCATGTAGTGAAATTTTAGTTTAACGTTTTAGTTTTAGTTTTAAGTTTAGTTTAGTTTAAGAAATTTTAGTTAATTTTAGTTACACTGGTTTATAAACTCAATATAATAAAAATACATTCTAAAATTTACTGTTTCATGATACACTAATTGGTAATTTGGCTTCAGAGGATAATAATTTTTTTGTTTTTTAAAGATATTACATGTTTTTAAAGGTAAAAATTATAGTATACAACTTTTTTTAAAACTTTCATAACTCAGAGACTATTTGATTGATTTCATTTAAATTTTTACTTTGTTATTCAAAATTACATAGTTTAAAATGACGTAAAACATTTTATGCCTTACGATTCAAAATTTTTTCGACTATTGTTAAAAAAAAACAGTAAAAATGATGTTACAAAAAAAATGAAAATTATTTTTTACATGGAAGTATCTCTGGATCTTCGATTTTTAAAATTATATGCAAAAGGGTTTTCGTTTCACTTAAAAAGCTCTCGAGATATGGCGAAATACCCAAAAAGTTAAATTAATATAAAGAATCCTATCCTTAGACCGTTCCAAAAGTTATACCGTTAGACCAAAAGTTATTCAGGTTGATGTTTTTTTCTTAATTGCTATACATCTTTTATAATACAATTAAACATGCGTTCAAAATGCTTTCTTACTTATCATTTAAAAAAAAAGAATGCACAACTTAAATAGTATTACATTAATTACTTCTTGATGTCACTTTGGCATGCAAATACAGTGGAATTAAGCCAAATTGGCGTGAAGATTCATGAGCGGTCATATCCGTCATTTTATTGCCAGGTTTCTTTTTTACTGTACTCACATATTACGGGCGGAGGTTTCTTTAGTGAGCCAAACTATCATTTTGTGTGGCAAGAAATAATTTTACATAAAAGATATCTTACGTTTTGAGTTACAAACCAAAACGAAAAGGAAGTAGGAGAGAGGAAAAAAAAATTTTTTTTCAACTTTTTTTTTTCTAGAACATTTTACGTTTCAACCGCACACCATTTTCACGGACATTTTATTTCCAGCGTGTGAAAAATGTCACCTCACTAAATTACACTAATGGACCTTCTCCTCCCCAGAAATAGCGATTAACTCCTAATTCTTTCGAGACCCCCATTTTGAGGGAGAGGGGGGTGTACGTCATTAATTGTGGAAGTTTTCATCGCGCGATTAGTTGGTGATGTCGCCAAAAACGACCGCTGCGACATAAATTCGGTCGCGTTATTTACAAAGTCTCGCGAAGAAAAGATATTTTTTGCATTCCTTACAACTTAAACCTTGTTTATTTCTGTCGAGAGACACACAGGGAATTAAGTTGGGCTGAATTGTGGGCAACCGTTTTTTTTTTTGAGTTTCTAAAAGAGTTTCAGAATCATTCCATTGTGGCGTGAAAGTTATTGTTGATATAAATTAAAAAAGTATGATGTCGAGTTCAGCGACAACTTCAATAGCTGCAAAAATTGTGTCACTTTTTAATAAGATTCACGAGGATAAAATGCACATGGTTACTTTAAAAAAGTTTTTCTGGATGTTTNCGGGTAGCCCCGCCCAGTTACAAAAATTGTGTTTTTTGGCTATTTTTTCAGGTGTAAATGAGAATGACCAATGTATTGACAATAGATAAACCTCATTTATCATTTTTATCACAAAATTATTTTATTTATTACATATTTATATACTTTTAGTGAATTCTATCATTTAATAACAACAAATGTCATACTTTTTATCATTATTAATGTATATTAATATATTATAATATTAATATATATTTATATTAAATATTTAACGAAAATAATTTAATTTAAGTAACAATAATTAATAACAATAGTTGTTTTTCAATATAAACTTATTTGGTTGATCTCTTCTTATAAACTTAATATAAAATATTTCTTATAAAATTACAAATTCGCTTTGTATTCTGATTGCATTCAAATGCTTCTGTAGATTGATTCGTTCACAAATAAATGAAAATAAATAAGTAAGCAAATAGCTTATCATAATAGTATTTAGGATTTCTTTATATTAAATTTAATTTGGATACAACAATTACATTTTAAAAATATTTAATTTTTCATTTTCAAATATATAAATTTATCTTTCATATAATATTAAAACATATATTTGTTGTTAAAAATGCATATAACATTCANAGCCAGAAAACAAAATAATGAAAAGATATAATTTCATGATCAGTTCATTCGATTAAATCCGCAAAAAGGACTGCATGCAAGTTATAAGTTTATTTTTATATTTCCCCGAATAGAGTGTTCAACACATGTTTTGTTTCTGCATTTTCTTTAAATTTTATATTCTGTTTTTTGAGTGATATATTTTTTACTTAATGTGTTCGATTTTAATTTCTATTTCAATTTCTTTGAGTACTCCTGACATTATTTCACGCTTTGGCTATATTGATACAAGATTAGAAAGCACTGATTTTCCGGATATAATCGTGTGAGCAGATGAAAAGGTTATATCTTTTAATTTTTTGTTTTCCCGCTTTTTATTACATATTTTTAATTTTTTTAATAATATTTTTTAAAGAAAATTTTAGAAGTTAAGAAAATTCAGAAAACATGGATTGCGAAGAAAATTGTGTACTTACCCCCCATCGACAAAGTTAACAATAATTATGCATTCTTTCTGTAAAAAATTCTATGTTGAATTTTTAAATAAGGAGTTAAATAATTATAACAATTTTATGCTTTGTAATTTAAATAATAATATTATCATTAAAATTTGTTTAATCTTTATTTAAGTGGTTAAAAATTAAAACTAATAATATACGATTTCTATTCTTAATAATCCGTCCAAAATTTCATAAAATTCCTATTAAATTTAGAACAATCACTTGTGGGTCTTATACTTACCTAATTAAACCTGGCACTATTTTCTCTAACTATTAAACTAACTATTATCTAACTATTAACGCAAAATTATTAGCAATATTATTAAAGAAGTTTTTTCTTCCATTATCACTAATAATCAACTTATTTTGGAATTTATTAAGCAAAATAAAATTAATTCTATTGCGACTTCTGATTTCCAAGATCTCTTAAATAGCATTCCCCTTTCTAAACAAAAAGATGTTCTTTACGTTATTACTGTGATTATTAAAATATCCCTGATTACGATTGTGATTATTGGAAAATTCTAATTAATTTTTGTCTTTTTAACATTTATCTCTACAATGGAAAAATATTTTTGTTCAAATTGATGGAATACCACTAGAGTCTAATTATTCCTCACTAAGTTATTTTTACACTTTATTGAAAGAAACTATTCTCTTAATATTAAATTTATTTTTATAATTATTGATGATTTAATTATCTTTAATTTTCAAAATTATATGATTTTGTTAAATAATAATCATCCCGAGGAATAAGTCTTGCTTCGTAATTATGACTCAACATTCATTTAAATTTTTTGGATTTAAGTATTAAAAAAGAAGAAAATATCTGCATTACTGATTTATACTATAATTGAAATGATTTTAAACTTAATATATATATAAACTAACTACATGGAATTCTAATGTTTCTAAAAACATTTATTTAAGTACAATTTTAATCAAGTGGATAGAATTAAAAGAACTTGTAGCAATGTTTATTTATCGAAAAAACAAATAGACAAGCTATTCCAAAGCTGATAAAAAAAAAAAAAAAAAAAAAAAAAAAAAAAAAAAAAAAAAAAAAAAAANAAAAAAAAAAAAAAAAAAAAAAAAAAAACGATGGATATACAATTAATGTAGTTAAATTCTATATAAAATAGTAGAGTTGATAGTTATAATTAAAATTTTCTTTGTTAACTAAATTTTAATATTTTACATGTGCAAATACATGGTTAAAAATCTTCTCATATTTAATAAATATTTTTTAATTTTTTTAAATGCTTATAATTTTTCTAAAATCATCAATATACGAAAAAAAAAATATAATTAAATTTCAGCCTCTTTAATATTAAAATTTTATAATTTAAATTCAGCCTTATAAAATTTATATTTTATAACCGTCGTTGAACAGCCGACTCAATTCTGGGCTTATGACTACCAAAGTGCTTATCCTTGTAATTTTGATCCCAACTTATTTTATAATTTTATGAGTTATACTTGCAGCTTATGAGCAGTAAATAACATTTTTTTTAAATTTTCTTCCTTAATCTCTCTTTTTTGTTGTTTTTGTCCTCATTGTGTTATATCTTGTATGAATTTGTTCTATGTGTCTATTTATATAGCCAACTGGAATTTATATAGCCAATATAAATCATTTAGTTTTCCAAAGTAATGATTTTAAGAATCTAAAAATATTTTATACAATTTTTATATTCTGTAATTTTGAATTTTATTTTCGAATACATTCTCTTTCTCATTATTATTTTCTTTATTTTTTCTTTCAGGAACAAACGAAACACAAGGTTCGTCACCAGTTTCAAGCTTGGACTGTCTATCTTTAATTGTAGAAAGCATAACCTCCAATGCAAATAATCTTATAACAACCGTTTCCATGGCAACAGATAACAGACCCACTTGATTATGGATAAATAAAATTATGAACATTTAAAAAACTTTTTACCAAAGAAACTGCGTAGATTTATGTAAAAATATGAAGTCATAAAATGTCTAATAATGAAAATTATTTCTTTACAAATACTTCTCAAATCTTAAGGATTCTTTTAGTTTCTCAGAAGATCAACAATGTGACAGTTGATTGGATAATGAAATTTTTGATTTTTCAAAAATATTTTGTTGATTGCTTTATTTTAGATGACAAAAAAAGCATGAGTTTGACATTGCTTATGAATTATATACTTTGAAGAAAAATATTTATACCCCAGAAGGATCAGTTTCTGCACCAATGCAAAAAACTGCTGCAATTGTCTCTTTAATTTGAAATTGATTTTTGTCAAATTTAGTATGAAAAATCAATAAAAAATGTCAAAATAAAAACAATAATCAATTGATGCCAAATTACAAGCAAAGTGCAATATTTTTAGCAACTGTCTACATTATTTATTTTTTCAATGCAACTCTTATTGTATCTATGTATTTATTTTAACAAAACGGAATGTACCGAAAATGCCGGCATTTATTTATAGAAATGTTTATTGATTTTGTTTTCAATGTTACGATTTTATCATCTGATTTTATCTTTCAATAATTATTTAAAACAGAACTGATCACAAATGATCAAAGAATGTAGAATGTGTCTTTAAAAATGTAATAGTTTTATATCAGACCTATTATAAATAAAAATAAAAAAACTTTTTGAGATTAATTTTTTTCATGTCTTTGTTACGTACATTTATACATGTTCAACATCGGGACAAAGGTATCTGGACACCCACCTAAAGAAGTGGCAGCATCATGGTGTTTGGTTGGATGGGGGTGTTTTTCATAGTTCGGCTGGAATCTATAAGTTCCTGAGGCTGGAAACATGAGCACCTATACACTGTTCGAATTTTCCTTCTAAAATTATGGTAAAATAACCGGCAGCAGTCTGTCCATCCAATTAACCGTAAAATTTGTGGTAAATTTTTTTTTTCCATTTACGTTTTTTTAACCACTTACGACTAGCATGGTTTTAAAACCGTAAAAAAGAAATTTTACTGGACATTAGAGATAATTCAGAAATCTTTGGTGTTGCCATCTATGCCTGAATGAGATAAGCGTATCGTATTCTAATAGCCCAGGGTCACAAATCTGGGGATTACAGAGCACTGGAAAATCTGCATGTGTTGAGGGAAATGGAGGAAATATTACGATGACGATGCTGGCATTCGAACTCCTGTTCTGTAGGCCAACTGCAAGGAACAAAGTGGCTTCAATAAGTGGGCCTAGTTGATATGAAATTTTGGTTGTTTAACCGTATTAAGTGAAAGTAGTTAATAAACGATTTTCTTTAAAGCTAACATTTTAACTTTTGAGTCTTATTCATGGTTACTTGACCGTTTTATTTGAATATGGTAAAATAACAATTAAATAAATTGTCATTTAACAATTTTTTCCAAAAAATTTCTAACAGTGGTGTGGACATCTCAAACGCTTGACAATATTTCGAGGAAGACTCATTTATTGTGTAGCAGGATAACTGTTCCATTCATACGTTGAGACTTGAGCAGCCGTGGTTTGACAAAATGAATGTTCCAAAACTGGACTGGTGTTCTTAATCCCCGATCTATATCCCGAAGGACACCGCAGATTCCGTAGTCTCAAATTGAACATCATCACAGTCAGCACTTGACTTGGTTAGAATCTTCTTGCTGTCATGCTAACCATGGGAGGTGCTCTTGGTTTTCCTCTCAATGCGACGCAAATGCGGGTTAGTTTCATCAAAAAGCATTGACTGTAAGGAAACTTTAGTTCATGATCCGTCCACCAATGAGGATATTTTATGCAATTACTGTGGTCGGTGTGAGCCGGGTGCAGAATTCATATCGACCAGCCATCGTTGAAATTCAAACCTGGGTCCTCTTACTGGGAGGAAAGCTGTCACGCCCAAGAAATTGTCCTGATTTTTATGTTTATTTTTCTTTTTTGCTAAATATTGTCCTGTTTTTTTCTTTAGCCCAATACGGATAATAACACTGCTATTTTAGATGGCATTTCTTAAAACAAAATTTTTTAACTACTTAAATTTTAGTTTACATATGATTTTATTTTAATATAAAAATTACCGAGTAAATAAATATATACAAATGTTTATTTTTTCATTTTAATTATTGTTTCGTCATTACCAAAGAAAAGTAGGCTTTTTTGAAAAATGGGCTCAGAGTTGTTTTCCCTTTTTTTAGTATCTCTGGATTTATTATGCGATGAACTCTTAATTTTATCCTACACGTGGTTTTTAAAGTTAATGTAATAATTTAACTATCACACACTCTTAACGATTACATTGTATTCGGAATTAGATTTAGTTCGGAAAACAATGAAATTTTTAAATAACTTTTAACTGAAAACTGAGTAACTTGATGGAAACTAACGAAAGCTTAAATAACTTTTCTTTCAGTGCTGAATCTTTAAATGCTTTGAAAACCGATCCTAATGGTTTAAAGGATTAACAACTAATATGCTAATTTTTGGTACTAACTGTTAGCTAAATTGCAAAAGCAGGAAAGAAAACAAAAAAAAACTAATATTATTTTTCTTAATAAACACACATTTTCTTAATAAAATACGTGTTTTTTTAAGATAATAAGAAATTGAATATTAAGTTACTGTCTGATACTAAAACTCTTTAATTAAGATAATAAGAAACTGATTATTAATAAGAAACTGAAGCGGCGTGATATTACTTGATTAAAAACTTCACTCGCTTCAAATATATGCAAATTGAAAATAACAGTCGACATGTTTCAAGCGCTCAAAAACAGATTCCCATTTTTAAGACTTACTAGTCGTGAATACGTCACGTCTGGCAAGTCTTAAAAATAGGTATCATGTTATATTATATCATGAATATTATATAAAGAAATATTTTTCGAATACGATGTTAAAGTGAATGCTGTTAAATTTTATATGGGTAAAGAATTTAGACACCATAATGTAGAAATCAGATTAATTGGGAAAATATTGCGATAGATTTTTGATAAGGCGATATACTTTTGATAATTTGATATATTTTTGATCATGCCCAGCGAGATTAAATTTTGCATTCTTTAGTCATGGGGGTAAATGATTGTGAGGGTGTCAACTCGAAAAAGCAGTCGCCAACCCATGGACTATATAACCGACAGGGTTCGAATCCCGGTGATGACTCGTCGATACGAATTCCGCATCCGGCTTGCACCAACCACAGTGCTGAAGTAAAGCATCCTCGGTAGTAGGCGGATCATAGGTTAGAGTCCCCTTGACATCGGGTTAACCGAGGGAGGTTTTGTGGTTTTCTTCTGGTTTTCATGTAACGCAAATGCGGATTAGTTCCATCAAAAAGTCTTCCACGAAGGCAAACTTCTCCCAATACTTGATACAGGAGTTCCATTGTCTTCTGTTGTGTTCAAAATTACTAGGTTACAGAATTGAACATTAGTAGTCGTATACCCAAAAAGTTGGGTTGGCTTCTCAACGACGGTTATAAAATAAAATATGTAACCGATAAGTTTAAGAGAGGTTAGGTACCAACACCTGATAAATGCCTCAAACGTACCTCAACCTACAATAATGGAAGACACACTTTCAATTTTTGATTTTTTTTTTTAAAATTTCTGAAGTAATACTCAGATGATTATTTTGTAACTTTAGAGTTGTTTAGTTTATGCGATTTTTCAAACATAGCAATAAGATGTAAAGCTTTCAGAGGTTTGAGGGACAGACAATATGTAATTAATGAAAACAAGTTTTTTTTAAATACCCTATGGTAGAAATGCAGATGATTAAGCTTGTAACTTGTATCGATTATTTCGGATTTTACTTGCAAATGCTGCATAAAATTTCGAAAACATAGCTTAAATATTTCTAGATGTACTAAAAATTTTTTACGAAACAAATTTTTTTTGTCTTATGTTTTTTAATGCTGTAATTTTAAAAATTTTCCTGTGAAATCAAGCAACCTTTTTTGGAACAACTTAAAATTAAATACAAAAATTATGTTTTAAAATTAGAAAAAAGTTCGTTTATTAACTTCGCAAGATATGAGTATTCAAAGTAGTTCCTTTGTAATGCGTATGCTCGAAAAATAATAATTTTATTTTCTTTATAATTTTGTAGTGAATTGTATTTGGCACCTAATGAAAAAAGTCTTATTTGAATATCTTAAAAAAGTAAAAAGTTTCGAGCTATGTAGTTTTTGTACTTTTTAAAATAAAGCTCAAAATGATCAGGGAGTTTTGCACAAATTTTATTTTGTAGTAATGCAAATGTTACTGCCTTATAACCGGACAGCAAGAACAATATAAAATTTGTGGAAGACTCCGATCATTTTGAGCTTTATCTTAAAAAGTACAAAATCTACATAGAAAATGACTCTAAACTTTTTGGAAAAAAAAATAAAAAATTAAAGAATATATATAGAAATATATCATTTCGTCATCATCTCATACGATTATATCCACAAAAAAGTGTGTGTATGTATTTGTAAATTTGTAAATTTTAAATTTGACATGTAAATTTTAAAACAGCGCAACTAATGCTAAAAAAATTGTAACGCATGTTATTCTTCTAAATGAATAAAAAAAAAAAAGAAATGATAGATTTTTATAGCATTGCGCTTTACATAATAATTAACATTATTCTAGTTTTTTCTGTTATGTAAGAACAAAAACACACAAATATTTGTACTTTATCTTTTCGTAAAAAGAAGTATTAAAGTAATTAATATTTTTGTTATATTTTTTGATATTAGATAGCAGCACTGTACCCGGAATTAGTAAACCATTTACCAATGTTTAAATTACTGTTCTTTAAATTCTTTTGAATGTGTCATCAAAAACATCTATTAAGATACTAACTATAACAAAATATTTATTATTTGGAGAGAGTTAAGAAATTATAAGAACTCTTCTGCCGATATAACTATCTATAACAAAACTTATTTCGTGACAACTATGCAATTGATCATTGCGGAAAAATTTCGCTCGATTTCAATTATTATCGCCAATGGTCAAACATTTTTTTTTTCATATGTTTTTTTACTAAATTCAAACTAGTTTATTAAGTACATTTCGTTATTTTTTAAATGATATTATGTTAAATGATATTATTTTTGGAAGTGATTAATATTATATAGGGTTTTATATTTGTAAAATTTTTTTTTTCGTTTTTCTATTATTTTAGTCACAAGATAGCAGCACTATATCATCAATTAGTATTAAAATCATGACTAGTTTATCACAAAATAACTGTAACTGTAATTACAGTCGATAAGTTTACCCACGAAATGAAACTGATGAAGATTGTTTTTGTCGTATTTTAAAATCAAGTTTATTTTTGACAAAATTGTTTTGTTGCATGATACGGTATTTTAAGGTTTTTGACTAAAGTGTATTTAGTAATCTATAGTAGTAAATGTATTTATCTGTTTCAATATCAACAAATTTTTCTGTAGCCCAATCAAAGTTGTGGTTTTAATTCGTAAATGTGATTTTAAAGTTTATATACCAGCAGTAATTTATATATAAATTTTGTTTGTTAATTATTGCAGATATTCAATATTATTTGTTATTTTTAAGCAGTTTCTTGTTTAGATACATTGTAAGCAGTTTCTTGTTTACGAATATTGTACACTTTGAAAAGGGGCGACTTAAAAGTACCTATCAGGGGTCTGTGTAGGTTTTTCTGAGAGGTACCTATTTTGGGAAAATTTAGACATAATATGTGAAAAATTAAAAATGATATTAAAAAATCAACACAAAAACGTAGTAAAAATATAGATTTATCGTTTCTTAAGGATGCGAAAATAAAATTTTAAGAAAAAGTACTTTGTGAAACTACCGTTTTTCCTAAAATTGAATTTGTGAAGGTACCGCTAAACGGTAGTAAATTCAACGTGGACAGACCCCTGCCTATGAAATATAAATATTAACTTCAGTTTTGCTAAAAAAAATTAATTTTTGAATTATAATTTTTTTTAAAAAATAAGTTCTTTTTCAGTGTTCTATTTCTTCCTATTTGTCAAACATTGCTAGAAGTTTCAAGAACGTTTTTAATGTTGATGGTGCTGAAATCAAGGTAATTATTTTATTTCAGACTTATTCTTTTTAATTTGTATCTTTTTCTCTTATATAAATCTTAATAATTCTTACATAAATCTTTTTATCTAATTTTTTATTTATATAAATTCTGTTTTAAGATTATTATTTATAATTTTTCTTTGTAAGTATATAATTTTTTTTTCTAGAATAATTTTCAATAAGAATCCAAGAATACTAAATATCATATATATTTTTACAGTTGAATCTGAGTATAATGACTTCTGTTTTCCAAACAAAAATGGTCATTAAAATATTGGTCGTTATATGGTGAAGACACAAAGCCATATACTTAAAATTCAGAAGTACTGGGCTTATTTTGGGAAAGACATGGCATACACCGAAAAGAATTATAAAACTGACAGAATAATTGACATTAACACAATTTTTCTTTGTCAATAAAGTGCAAGTACTAATGAAAAATATTAAATGTTAAAAATACATGAAATTTTTTTTCAAAATGAAATTCTTTAATACTATCAGGGGTCTGTCTAGGTTTTTCTGAGAGGTACCTATTTTGTGAAAATTTAGGCATAATTTCTGAAAAGTTAAATTAAAAAATCAACACAAAAAATATGGATTTATCGTTTCTTAAGGGATACACAAATAAAATTTTAAGAAAAAGTATTTTGTAAAACTACTGCTTTTCCTAAAATTGAATTTGTGAAACAGCTATTTTTCCTAAAGTTGAATTTGTGAAGGTACTGTTAAACGGTAGTAAATTCGCCCTGGACAGACCCCTGATTATGCACAATTTTTAGAAAGTCTTTCAGTGCTTTTTTTAGATTTTGAAATTTTCTCTTCCTAAAAAAATTGTCCTTGTTCTCATATCTTAAAAATTACATCCGGATTTTTAATTATTATGAATAATAGCTGGTATTAAATCTACAAAAGGGTATGTTTGTGACAGGTTAAATGTTGCTAGTCTTCTGCTTTCGCAACAATTTCTTTTTTTGTATGTTTAAGTGAGCAATATATGTATTGTGAGCAATGTGTATTTGTTATGTTTAAGTGAACAATGTATACTCTAAATAGGGATAAATAAACAGCATTTTTTCATTTTTGGTGTCAATATAGAAAAGTGAAAAACAAACCTAATTTCACATTGTTTTCCCTTAGATCTTAAATTGAAATGTTTGTGTTGCAAACTTACAGGCAGACATCAACAAAGTTGTTCTAATTCCTAAAAGAAAAATACTTTGGAACTTCTGTTTCATTCTTCAAAATAATGCATCATGATTTTTGTTGATCATTCTTTATCATGCCACCTATGTTCCATCTTAAACATTCATACATTCTTTAACATTCAGTGTTATCAGTGAAGCCATTGCACTTCATTTCATTGTTTCCTCTCATCGCGCAAAAACTTTTTGTTGTTAATTAGTTTGATTTATATTTAATGCTAATTGAAATGCAGTGCGGAAGAGAGTATAGTACTAATGAAAAACAATAGCATTAATTATATGTATTCAGTGGCCCCCATCCCCCCAAGCTCTTGGGCAAATTCTAAATTCCCTCCCCCCCAAACTATTTGTTTTATTTAGTGTAAAAATTCCCCCCAAGCTTTAAGTGGGTGCATCATGCGCCCACCTCCCCCCCTGGTGGGGACCCCTGTATGTATTTGCTTATTATGACTTTTTTTTCCCATCATTCAATCTTGTATTGTAGATGTGAAAATCAATTTGGCTAATTTAGAAATTATGTTTATGCTAAATGAATGTGTTATAATCTAAAATAATAGAAGGCTAATCATATTTTTGTTTATCTTTTATTCTTAAATATGCAGAAATTAAAATGTTGTAATTATATTAAGTTAAACTATTTAAAGGATTAATTTTCTTATCTCGTTTTATAAGAAATATTTTAAGTTTGGCCACTAAAAAATGATGTAAGTTCATCAGTTCTCAAAATATTAAAATATTATAGGAACTACCATTTTTTTAGGGTCATTCTGAAATAAAAAGTTTATTAAATGTTTGGACTAAAATTTTAGTTTTTCAGTTATGATAAAGTTGGAAAAAAATGCTTCCTAAAGCAAACTATAAATTTTAACTTTTCAGATAGGTGTTTAGTTTTGTAAATTTTAATTTCTTAGATGGTTTTTCTTCTTTACTCTATTTTTCTTTTGAAAGAATATTCTGTGCTAAAGTTGTCTTGATTTTGTCTAACCTTTTTTTTTTTTTGGTATTGTTTTCTCCTGATTTTCTATTTGTGCCTCTACGAGGTCTGTTTTTGCCATTATCTTTATCACATATTGATTTATAAATTTACCTAACTTTTGTACAAAATGAAACATTTATGCTGTCAGTGCTAAACCCATATATTGTCAGTAGTTTGGTGTTATGACTTCATAGTTACATTTTTACCATAATTTCTAATGAATACATCATTAATAAACCTTTTTGTTGTGATTTTTGAAATCTTCATACATAAAAAATTATTATTTTTTCTTTTAACTCATTATGTACATATAATTTTGTAAAATTTTGATCTTTGAAGTGCACATACAAAGTGAATAAGTAAAAGAATTTTTTTCATAATCTAATTTTATAAAAATAAATGACAAAAGATTGGTTAAGTGTCCCAACTATTCTTTTGTACAAAAAGGAAAATTGTTAACATTTGATTCTTTTTTTTTCTAAAATTCCAAAATTCCTGTTTATTTTAACTTTTTGCTTATTTTCTTTATATAAATGCAGCTGTAATAGATTATAATATTCAATATTGTAATTTATAAACATCATTTTAATTCTCATTATTGGCTCATATTGAAAATCTTATAAGTTGATCAGTTTTTAATAGTGAGAAGATTTGCCTCACCTGGTTATGTGTAAACAATTAGAATTTAGGAGATACCTTGCCTCCCCATCCACACACTGCGACACACTGAGTGAAAGGCGGATGTTGATTTAATAATTAATGGTTTTGATTTAATAATTTTAATGTAAATGTATTTAAACATTTCATCAAAACAAAATACAGTTACATTTGGGGTATTGGGGATGGCTGTCAGTTAACCTCTCGTCCATAGCAGGTCGCACAAACCTGAGACAAATCCACATTCCACAGTAAATAAAATGAAAATAATTTAATGTTTCCTGGGCAGCCTGGTACCATTTAATTTATGGACTGGTCCACGGCCCGGGGGTTGGGAACCAATGCCTTACACCATATTACTTGTCCAATGGCTTGTTACTTGCTGATAAAATATATATCACCTAATAATTCTTATTACCTGTAATATGAAAATAACATATATTCCTATCAGTTATAAATAACAAACCACTATAACCACATTTGTAAATAAATAATCATGAGTTAAAAGTATTTACCAGGTTATTCCCATGGTTACCTAGTTTTTTACCATGTCCTGGTAAAAACTGGTTTTTTCCTGGTAAAAACCCAATCCTATTTTTTCCATTATTATATGTAAGCAATTTAATAAATACTGATAAGCTATCACTAAATGATCTTACCTTTACTTTAAGCTGAGCAATCAGTGGTCATTTGCTTAGCTGCTGCTTTCAACTTAAATGAATTAGAGACCTAATTCAACATAATCTTTGAATGTTTTTGTGAATTAATAGAAAATTATGTATTATTATATTGTGTAAGAAACTCTTCATTTTTCTCCAAATCTGGCTTAACAATTATAACTTAAACATATTTCTCCAAAAACCCTATAAATCTTAAAGTTTTTAAAAAAATATAAGGTGTCTCACTGTGTACATATAGTCACGTTGTTTATAAAAGCGTACCTATTTAGGGCCACAAATTATTATTTAAGAGAAGTAAAAATAAAAAAAGCATTCTTAAATGTTACAAATTATCTTAGACAAAAGTGGAACACGAAAGTATAAAATCTGTTTAATTGCTGGGGAAAAAAAAACTTGGATGTTTTTTTTCATAAACACTAATAAATTCCTCTCTGTTTCCTCCAGGTGTTAAACAAGTTTTATTATTTTTAATTCAATAATCTTAAGCATTAATTGCCGGAGAATTTTAGTTTTTACCTGACTTAAATATTAATTTGCAACCTATGATGTCTAAATTTTTTTAACTTCATATTTGCCAAGCGTTTTAAAAATATGTAATATTAAGGGTAGCTGTTACAAACTTGCTATAAGTACTTTACTTTATCTAAAGTGTCATTTTTTTTCTTTCAGTTGAATTTAATAGTCATCTAAATTTAAGAAGTGGTGCTTGCATGTTCTTTGAAGCTATTAAAAGTGAGAAATGCCTTTTCTTTTTTTCTTAGAAATGAACAGCTTAGTGGAAGAACTGTGGCTAAGTGACATTTTTAAAAAAAAAAGATTTTTCAGCGAAAGTTCTTATTTGAGCTTTATTTAAATGTATAACGTTCATTTATAATGCTAAATCAATTCATTCCGAAGATACTTTAGAGGAAGAACCTTTCTATGTGACATTTTTTAAGTATTCAGCTGATGAAAGAGCTGGTTAGGTATCTTGGCGACAAATAGTCAACAAACCCTAGAAAATCTCTGGTTAGGCACCGAATGCTAAAGCGCAGGGGAAAAGAAATTGGTTAACAGTAAAAACTTGAAGCAGCAGATTGCATTTATTCAGGAGGAATTCATGTTTATTTAGGAATTAATAATTGCGGAGATGATTGTGCTCCAGAAAAAATCCGAATTTCTGGATTTTTCGCAAACTGCAATACGGAAGTTTCTCGAAATCCAACGTCCAGAAGTTTCAAGAAAATCATTGATCACATTTATGTATAATTCTTGTATATTTTATTTAAAAATATTAGAACTAGAATTTATTACTTTTGGCATCTCTTTCATTTGTTAATATTTTGTCTGGTAGAATAATAAATGTTATTGGAGATAAATGTAAACTTATAAATAATTATTCATTAAAGTTATGCTGCATATAATTTATTTAGAATTTCATGTTTTGAAAATATCAGTGATTTAAATTTATAGAGACATTTATTTTTTACTCAAGAAATTTTCAGGATTTTTGAGTTGGGCTCACAATCACCCCTGTAATTGAAAAAGACAAAAAAGAAAAGAAAAAAAAAACCCCTTAAACAGCTTCATCTTATAGTTTTTTTCCCCTGGTTTGTCTGGTATTGGACTGATTGTCGAGACACGGTACCCAGTAGAACACCGAAGTCAAGCATCACTGGTTGCAGTCAGCAAGCGGGTGGGTGACCACTTTGATCAGCCTGTGTATGGACCGCGGATGTGCGATATTGGTCCTCGTTAACCTAGTGGTCGACTTCGTGCACATTTTTCCTCGGTTCATGGAAGCTACCAAAGCAGGGGAGCCATCCCCTCTGCAGAGGATCAAAATTGTTATATGGCATGTCTTCGGATCATCCTCAGGGATGTTTCCCAGACTATCGCCAATAGCCCATTGTGCAGCTCTAGTTACTCAAATTTACTAACATTTTGTTTAACCGGTTCTTCCACTAAGCTCATCAAATATAACTTAACATTTATAACTTTTTTTATGTGTTAAAATTTGTACATTAACTTGCATGTAGAGCTCAGCTTATTCATTAAATATTTTTGCTATTAATGTGAATATTTTTAACTTACATTATTATGTGACAAATTGGTGCATAGAAAAAGAAATATTCCGAATTAGCTTCTTTGTGAGTATAAGTACAGTTATATAAGAAAACATTCTTTTTTTCAAGTGTAATGCATAAAGAAAAATTAGATTTGTTGGGAGTATTTACGTATCATGATCTGTTCGCCAACTGCAACTGCCAAAGTGTTGAATGGAATTTAAACTCACAATTTTTTTTAATAAATTTTGTAATATAATTAAAAATATGCGATTTAAAGAAGCAGAGTAGATTTTAGCTTAGTGTGAGAACACTTAAGAAAAAAAAGCATGCAACCCCAGAAATATAAATTTGTTCGAGGAGGACTGTGACCTGTGGGCATGTTTACAAATGATTAAATGTAAAAGAAGTTACGTTCTACACATCGAGTTCCGTGGTAAGGCCTGGACTCTACCTCCAGAGTATCTTACTAGCTATAATCATTTACCAGCTACTGAGCATCTTGCATAAATTATCCCACAAGCAGGTGAAGAGTTGAGTAGTAACTGGTTCTTACGAGCGTGGTTCATTACAACTCCCAATGAACGACCAACATCGATTTTTTATGACGCCATCCTGTGAATTAATCTATGATAAATATAGAGCCTAGATTTGGCACGATTATCAGTCATATTTTCAACGCATTGTTTCTAAACCACCGGACCGAAAACTCTTATTTATGGGCCCTCAGAAGGAATCTATATTAGGTAGATCTTTTTGTAAAAAGGAGTGAATTACCAAGCTTTCTAACCTGTCAGACATATTTTCACTTATAAATGAACTTCAGCTGGAATAATATAGTTTTCAACTTTTACAATCAGATCGATGCTTTCAAGTTAAAGTTATGGTGCAAATGTGTATAAGTGTAAAACCTGGAATTTTTTTTTCTTTTTACGATTTTATAAATAATTACATTAATACGAAACTTTGTATTATACTTTTTGGTGCACTTAAATGAATTTGCTTTGGCTTTTGATCAATATTATTGTCTAAAAAAAGGATGTATGTGTAGTGTTCATTCTAGACCTTAAAAAGGTCATGGTGCCAGAAACTGAAAAGGGCACCTAATCGCAAATATTTGCATGACTTTTAAGACGTCCAAAATATACAAAATATTTAATTTTATCATTAAAAAATCTTTTTTAAGAGAATTAGTTTGAATAAAAAATAATTCCTTAGTTAAATTCACACATTCTATAAATTCATTTTAAAATGAGCGTAATTCTCTAAATTTTGGATGCCAAAATAATAACTTATTAAAAATATCAGGATTTAAAAAAAAAAAAAAATTAATCTAAATTGAGAATGTCAAACAGTAACTCTGTAAATGGAAAAACTCGCTTGTTGCAATAACATTGTATAAAAATTATCAGATTAATTATTATAAAAAGCAAGTGGAAACGATGTGGATTTAATTATGGCAAAGACTGATAAAGTGATAAATAACTTCTGAAAAATATGTCGTAAAACACAGACTAGTAGAATTGTCACGAATCGAACGCATCAAATAGTAATAACTCAAATTTGAATACCAAACATTCTATTAAAAATATAGATATTTGAAAAACTACAAAAAAGGGCCGTAAAAGTGATTAATAACTTCTGAAAAAGCAATCATCAAAGACTGTGTTAGAATTGTCATGAGTCACACACATTAAGAAGTGCTAACGAAATTTGCTCATCGAAATTGCCTGTTAAAACAATGTGAAAAAGGCTGAAAAAATAATAATCAAACGACGTGAAATTGCAATGGAATTGTTACGAATCAAACACTTCAAGGAAGTGATAGATCAAATATGAAATGTGCATGTCGTAATTACATGTGAAAGATATCGGAATTTGAAAGATCATAGGGAAACAGTTGAAAAAACGATTAATAATGGCCAAAACATTATTACTGCCCAAAAGAAAAGATAAAAAACCACCTGAAATCGGCATGTCCATTTTCCTCCCTTTTATATGGCGGGCCGCATAATCAGGTTCATAGGTCAAAGGGGAAGCCGGGCGACCTGATCCGCAAATCCCGCCTAGCATGAACTTTGAATTTTATTACCCCAAAAGTACTTAGTTTACAGATTGTTACAAAAGGATAGATCAATGCTCTCTATTCATATTAAAATCTGAAAATAGTACTTATTTGTGTTAAACACCATTTTATGTTAAAATAAAATATTGAAATTAACATAGTCTTATGACTTCTTTGCGTGTAGCTGTAACTAGTCTGACACCCAGAAATGATTTTTAAGTCGGCAATAAATAACTGCAATCGCATTAAATTCTGGTCATTACTTTTTTTAATGCTTGTAATTAATTTTTATTTATTTCCTATTTACTTGTATACCAACATCCATTAATGACTACTTTACTGTGGACGGAGAGTGGTCATTCACGAAAGGTTTCACTGTACCACTGTATTTTGAAAATTGTTGCCGAATTTTTCATATGATTATTTTTAATGCAAATATATTGATTTGTTTCATTGATTATCTAATTAATGAATTCTGTTAGCTTCATATATATTGCTCTATGTACAACAAAAAATGGCCAATAGTTTAAAAGTAATTATGACATCAAAATTTTAAGCATTGTTTTTCATTTTACCTCTAAATGAAACGTTTCTTTAGAGTTGTTTTGGACAGTTTCTAATAATTTCTATTTTTTAATTGCTGTAAGGAGAAGTTTTTTTCCCACTGAGTTACTTAGTCAAGTCCCTAGTTATGCCTCCACTTAACACTATTTGTGTAATATTTTCAGGAGGAAACCTAAGGGAAGGTCGAAAAAAAAATATTGTTTTTTTGAAATTGTGTGCTATGTTTTGTAAATATAACTAATTTTTAACACCTATATGGAAGAAAATAAGAATTAGTGAAATCTTGTAGTTAGTTTAATAAATGTAAAATTTTAAATTTGAATTGAAAAAAGGACACTTGGCAAAGTTAAATTTCAACAGATTTGTTATTTGTTTTGTTAATTTCATTTAGAACTTTTGCATCCAAGTTGTCAATATTTTAAGCATATCAAATCTGCTTATTCATTCACTGTTATTTCCTTTTTTTATTATATAGAGCCCCCGTGGCAGAAACACAGCGACATTGT